AGAACTGAACTGATCAGTGTCTTCTCAAACATTAACTCAACGATCATCAGTTCTTGCTAACTAACTAGTTAGTTAGTTAGCTGAGTGGCTGGTCAGCTGGTCAACTGGCTAGTTAACTAGCTAAATTATTTAACGACTCTGAACGAAAATCAGTTACAATGAAAACGTTTCAAAATTCATCGTCTTATTAAAAACAGCTGTTATCCTTGGTCTTTCACCAAACCCATCTTCTGTTCAGTGTTAAATAGATCTCAGAATTTACAGTTCGAAGTATTATGTAAATTGCTGTAAAGTGAAAAATAAAAAAGAATTTTTCGGCGCTTTTTTACTATTTTACTTTGTAGCATCTGCGAAAATAGTAGTTAAGAACTTGTACTGTCTCGTCTGTGGTCAATTTTTAGTTTCTTCTCCTTATTCTTGACTCGGTGTTGCCATTTACTGACAGCTTCCAGTTTTGATATATATTATAGTGACAGTGTTTTTACAGTAAACCGAGTAAATAAGGTTTTTGTAATACATAATCGATATTTATGTCAATTCAGATGAGGTTGTTAATCTAAAAAATTTTAAGTAAATTATTTCGCTGCTTTTCTAAATGTTTTTTTTACATAGAAATGTTCAACACCATGTTTGCTACAAGTTTTATTTGAAACTATCATATAAGAAAAACAAAGAACCAAAAAATTTATTTTGGAATCAATCAATAGAGTTGATTTTTTATTGTTCTTTGCTCGCTTAACAAAATTTTTTATACTTTCTGTCTACTTTAAGTGTTAACTAAAAAAGAAGACAAAAAAAAGTTGTGTAATACTCAAGATCTCACTTGCAGCAACCTCTTTAGCACCTCTAAATAAATATGTCTTTCACAATGTAAAAAAAAAAAACAAAACAAAAGAAAATATAAAAAAATTGAAAAAAAAAAGACGAAATTCTTGAAACGCGTTCAGTGTACACCAAAATTAGTCTACTTAGGAATTCTGTGTTCAGACCGGCGGCTCAAGAATGGGCATCGGTCATTTAAAATTTTGATATCTTATTTACTTTTTTTTCTTATTAGAGCTATTAAGTCTGGTGTAGGTGAATAGTTTCGTTGAGTAATTATTATTGTTCATTAGTTTTGGCCTGATCTTTTTTGAGCTTCCGTTGATGCCGCCGTTGTATTAATTTTTGTATGCATAAATTTTTGTAGGCACAACGACCCGATCAAAAGGTGTTATTAGACAGCTATTCGATCTTATATTTGTATACTTAATCTTAATGCAGGGTGATTAAGTCAGCTTTGAGCGTCAATACAGCGCCAAGCACTTTGAGCTGTCGACTGTCTATTCAACCTTGTAGTGTAGCAGCTTTAGCACTTTTTGTCTTTATTTTCTTCTTTATTAACTCTAAAAACAAAGCAAAAACAAAAAAAGAAAAATAAAGAAAAATAAAAAAAAAAAGGAAAAACAAGAAATTATTTTCTTAACTACTTTAATGGAACAGTTTTCCGTTGCTTACCACGAAAGTTACGTTCGGAACTGGCGAGTTCTTGGTGCAATTTGGGTATTATTCGCAATGTGTTCTGGTAAGTTGATTAAACTTTAGTACTACAATAGTATATGCTAAATTTATGCACTAATATGAGTCTTATTATTTTGAAATATAGAGAGAATTCGACTTACCTGATACCTTCATGTTTCAGCTTTGCTTCAAGTTTTGGTTTTTATTCATCCGGAATGGATTGGTGGCCCAGATGGTGGATATTTTGGTCTATACTCCTACTGTCCTAATAATGACTGCCCATGGCGGATATTTAATATACAGGCTCTATCAACATCGTTTTCAGTTGCCGCAATACTTGTACTTATATCAACTGTTCTTTCTCTATTAGCTGTATTTTCAATAATGGTTTGTCATTGAATTTTTCTATTTAGTTCAGTGAACTCTTATACCTTTACTAAGTGTAACTTTTTGTCAATATAAAGCTAATATTTATAGAGCAGATATAACCTATAAAAGATTACGTAGGTATTTCCTGAAAAGTACCTAGGTTATAGTTAAACTTTTTCTTACCATATTTTAAATTTTGTTTCATTTATTCTGTAACATTTGAGTTTTATTTATTTATCGTAAAGCAACGATTTTTCTTCTTCTTTTTTTTCCTAAAAAAATTAAACGATTTTTTTCTTTTTTCTGAAACTTTTTGTTTTAACAGATGCAATATTTCTAGAAAAAGTAAAAAACTTGAAAAATTATTAGACTGCTAAAGTTCAGCTAAAATACAGCTACAAAGTTTTTAACCAAAAGCTTTTTTGCAATAAAAACTTCTACTAGTAAACATGTTTTTGAAAGTTGATAGAAAAATTGAAGCACATTTCTCACAACTTCTTGCCTTCTAAAGTGTTGAGAACTTTTTCCTCTTTAGTTTTACAACCAATATTTTTGAATTCAAATGCTCGATTGTTAACAAAAAAAAAAAATTTCTAACTGTTTTTGAAAAAAACATTTGATAATTAAACACTCCTCTTATGCATTTAATTTTCTTTCTTTTTTTATTTGTTCACAAGTGGTCCTGACGTCACACTTCATCATTTGATAACTTTTCCAAATCTGTGGTCGAGAAGACTCTTTAATGGTTATAATATATTCAATACCACAGTCACTTTATCGTTTTAGGATGCTTAGCGGTCAATAATCCATCTTTATTTTTTGACAGTTGTCAAAAACAAAACAAAAAAAAAAAGCAGTTCTTAGGAATCTTGTAAACGTTTTGATGCTCTAAAATTATAACTACCTTTTATGGTTTTTAAATAGTTAAATTTTACAAAAAATGTAATTGCAGTATTAGAAAGACCTTATTTTAGTTTCCGTCGACAAATTTTTTTCTTCTATTTACTTTTTCTACTTTTGTTGCAGAGTACTTTAATCTAAGACGTCTAAAAAAAAAAAGAAGTCTATGAAAATAACGCTTTTGTCTCCAGTTTTGCTAATTTTATCTTATTACTGCTTGTAATATTCCGTACATTTCACAGTTTAATTTCATTTATTTTCTGTAAATTATTTAGTGTAATCTACTTTAGTTACTTTTGTGCACCATAAAATCATTGATCTATTTCAGCTTCTTGTACTGTTGCGTGACCGCTATGTATTCCTGCTTTGTTCCTGGATGCATCTGCTCTCATGTAATTACTATTAATGTTCTATAACACTCTCTTTTTCGTTTTTTTTCAGGTCTTTCACAAATGTAAACTTGAAACCCATCTACTGCTTAGCATTTAACAATGTAGCTTTCAGTTTTTGGGATGTTAGGTGGTTGTCTAGTTTACCCGTCTGGTTGGGATAATACAAAAATTCGAGAGATGTGTGATTCCCACCGTTACAATCTTGGTCTGTGTGAAATCAAATGGGCCTACGCACTAGCGCTGGTGTTGATCATTGACCAGATGACATTGTCATTACTTGGATTTATTTTGGCCTGTAAACAGCCTCCATCGATTCCGGAAATTAGCTGCAACTACAGTAGGTTTTTCTTTGTCCATACTGAATTCATCTCTCGACAACTTATTGATAACCGACAAAAAAATAAATGAATAAGTTAAAGAAAAAATTTACTTTCCCAATTTCGCTTTCTCTTTTCTTCGTTTTTTTTTTTAACCTATTGTTCAGATTTCAATTCTTCTCTTTATCTTTTTTTTTCTGGAAAACAATAAACGTGTACAGATCGATGCGATATATTCAAAATAATCCTCTTATATTAATCTAAACAAACAAATTCTGAAGTCTGAAGAAGAAGAACGAACGATGATTTTGCAGACAGAGGACTTTTAAGAAATAAAGAACAGTAAAAAATAGAAATCTTTTTTTTTTTTTTTATTAGAAAACCAGTGGAATTTAATCATTTGTGACTTGGTAAAAAAGTTAGAAATAAAAACAGAAAACTACAGATCAAATATTTCACACTTTCTACGAGTATACCTATCAATAATCGTTTTTTATTTCATTTCATTCTCAGCTACAAGCAAGATTTTGTTACTTTTGTAACAGCGTATTAGATAAACAAAAATTTCCTGTTTGCCTGCAAAACTCAGTGGTTCTTCCGTGTTTTACAAGAAGCTAAATGATGGGACATGTGGTTCCTGTAGTTTACAAACAAAACTAGCTTCAAAGTTCATCGTTTGGTGAAAGGTAGACAAATTTTTGACTTGACATTAAGGATAAACACTAATAAAGAAAAATAAAGCGTTTTTTTTTTTGCCTCTCTTTTCTTCCATCTTTGCTTTGGCATAGGGTGGTCGCAGCAAGCAAATAATTGTACAAATATTTACCATTTGACCGCATCCCTAAAACGTTGGTTTTGATTGATTTCCAGTCACTCGAACTTGTCAACTACTGCTACATTTTTGTTCCGGGGCAATAGTAAGTGTGACTAAGGAAAGGAGGTTGGAGAAAAACCCACTGCATTAACCAGCGCAAAAAGTACTCATTACCTTTTGAACATCTCGCATACTCAATTGGCGCTTTTGAATTAGCTAACTTCCTTGAACATCATTCATATTTTCACACGAACAAAAAATTCCTTACAATCATAAGTTGCTGAACGTTTTTCAACTTGCAACTTAGTCTTCCTTAAAAAAATAACTGAGCCGATTTTTATAGCAAAAATAAACCATAAACAACATTTAAAAAATGTCAAAGAAAAAGACCCTAATTGAGCTAAGCATTGTATAAAAAAATTAAAACAAGTCAAGCTCAAGTAGAAATGCTTTTTTTAATTATATTTCACTGAACTGTGCTTCATCTCATAACAAAATATACTTCTTCAAATTTGCAGTTATACCCGAACAAATGGCCACGTTACGACAGTTATCACATCGGTCCAAGCGCTGTGATTCCTATCGAGGATCGCACTACTCGTTAAATTCGTCAAATTTGCATCTTTGAATGACTAAATATGGCGAAAATGCCAATTGCAGCTTGATGCAACTTGGTTTTTTAGGTACTAAAGACCAACAAAAAGCAACTGTAATCGAGTGAAAATTTAACCATAGTTCCCATTGCTGCTTAATTAACCAATATGCCACCGTGATAGTCCATTTTGCTCTATCCCCTCAAAGACACCCTTAACAGGTACAAAACGAACATTAGTCATCGGGTGCTTTCCCTCCTTCCAAAATTCACAAAATTGTAAGGTGTGTTCTTGTCTTTTTTCAATTCCTCCTTCCCTCCGTAAAAATGGTCTACAAATCTGCCAGCAAATTTTTGTTAAATTTCTCCAGTGTTTTAATAACGTATACAACAAATACGCCTTCATTTTCCAAAAAAGTTATCCAGTCCTTACCAAGACATTGTTTTTTCCCGACCATGAAATTAACACAGCAAGGCACCCAGCAGTGAGATGATTGAAATGTTTGTATCCGCCATCTCTTATATATCTTCTATAAACTGTCATCAGATGATCTCTGTCAAGAAAAAATAAATCTAAGAAACAAAAGAACACAGCAAAACTGATTCCTTTGCGTAGTTTTTGTTATTTTCATGTATGTATATAAATGTGCCTCAGCTGTATTATAAGTAGTATTCATCGAAAAATAAAAATACAACTCAGCATTTAGCTAACACATGGTTAGCATCCACCATATTTTACACATCTGTCTGTGCACTCCATTCATATGCCATTAAAAAAAACACAAAAAAGAGAGGAAAAGACAAGAACTTAATGAAAAAGAAAGTTTTTTATTCATCTTCACTGACACAACAGAAAAACAGTAATGTGAATATCAAAGACAAAAAAAAAAAAAAACACAAAAAGGCACCTACTTTGTAATTGAACCTTTGTTATTGCATAATATTTTGTTACTACAGAATTTAAAATAATTTTAGAAATAACGTTAATCAAGCCGTTATTTTTTACAACGCTATTCTTTTTTAGAAAAATGTGCTCGAAAGAAAACAAAATGAAATTTTTAGTGGATAAAAATACCTAAAACATTATGCAGCGTCACCCGAATATATTTGCAAGTTTTGAGCGTGTAGTAAATGATACAGAAAAAAGGCTCGCTAATGTAAGCAGTGAAATTTACAGTAAAGCATAAGCACCAAACATAATAGAAGCAAAAAAGAATACAAAAAATGATTTTCCAAATTTAAATGAAACAAGAGAAATTAAAGTAACAAATAATAGTTCAAGATCGTCAGAATTATAGGAAGATGAGAAGAAGAGAAAATAGAAGAAAGATCAAAAGATTCGTATTAACATCTTCATTCTTACTGTACAGTAACAGCTTCAAATAGTGCTATTTCCGGCTAATCACTGAACTTCTGAAGGTAACCAAACATTAGTCTTTCTCTAAACATCAGTTCATTCCAATACATGGAGCACAGCCACTATTGGTCTTAATTTAATGCATTATCGCCAAGTAGAAATTTTAAAGTCCTGAATCCTTAACGACGTGCAACGAGATTCGTCAAGCACAATGAAACATAAATACATACAGAAACGTAAGAGAAATATTAGTCTAACAATGTTGTAAAGTAAAATAATACAAAGCAATGATTTATAAAATAGCAAACAACTAAAATGCAAATATTATATTTAACAGCGAAATAAATAAGTCACAAAAACAAAATTAAAAAATTTCACAAAAAAAAGTCCTGAAACTTTTCACTTCAAAAAATTCTTATTTCAAGCTTGCAGCTTAAAAAACCAATCATTTCAATAAACCTGAGTTAAAATCAACAAAAACAAGAAATTTTACAAAAGCGTAATAAACAACATGACTAGTGGGTATTTGCCAAATGGAATGGTTAAATAGAAAGAAATGAAAATAAAATAAAATGAAGTAAAGTAAAACAACAATATAAAGATCTCCTGAAACGCATTTTTCATTATTATCAGTACGGCTGACGACTACGTTCATTCTTAATCCGTAGCAAGTTTTGTAAATGCAGCTAAAGCTGAGCCTGAAGATTCTGGTCCACTGCTACCAATGAGATCATCTGCCTCATCAGTTAAAGCTAAAAAAACTTCTGACACTCAAATACACCAACGTGAGGTAAAATATGAAATCTCAAAATCAGAGTGAAGAAATTTGAATAGGGTAAGAATGATTAAGTAATGATGATAAGAAATCAATTATTTGAAGCCTATTAAAAAAAAAAGAATTGCAAAAAACCAGAAGTATCAGAAACTCACCAATACTTGTAACATACTGCTTGTGTGATGGAGCGTACAACGACAAAAGTAAAAGTACATAGATATTCCACATACCGAAAGTACCGGTAAAGAACGCCGAAGTAGAATTGGTCAGCGGACTTTCAGAATATTCGTCACCGTGCATCTGACCCTCTCCATGCTAAAAACAATCAACTTTCAAAAAATAGATTTTCCTACACCACAGTTTAGCAATACAAAATTGTGGTTAATTTATCGACGCCTTTGAATGCCCAAAATAAAACTGACTTTACCGTAAAAAAGTTTTGTAGTAGAAAGTTTGCTAAGCACTAACCTGCTTCAAAAGATAAGAAGTAACAGTAAATGCTGCACAAACCAGTGTAAAACACATCATAAACTTAAATCGATAAATAACAGCTTCAACCTGAAAATTGTAAGCAAAATAAATACTTGCTAGTCAAGTTTGTTTCATTTAATGAAAAAAAACCTAATTTAAAAAGCAGCTAAAAATAAAAGTCTGTTTTATGAACAAAGTTTTAATTGATTATAACCCCAGAGTAACCCCAAAAGACACCCTAAAATCCAGATCTACTGTAGATTCATTTGCAAAAGAGTAAACACAGGTAATTAACATTCCGACTTCTATATCAAAATAGGACAGAATTTTGTCACCAATTAAAGAGCCATAACAATGTATTATAATACCGTCTAATACAAAATTGCCTTCTCCCCTAATTTCTTCTTCCTTCCTGCTTCCTGATTTTTAAGCCAATAGGATTTTCTGTACCAAAATTGGCTGTTTCAGAGTTGATGAACACTACTCTCCGCAAATGAAGATGAATTAATAAATTTAGACATTGACTACTAACCTTTATCCTACGAGTCTCACTTGTTCGGTACAGTTGAGCTTCTCTCTTCCGCCTAACAGTCATCCATACAAGAACGACCTTGTAGAACAAGAAGCAGAAATAAGCAACCGTCGCAACAGATGCGGTGTAGATCATAGTGTACTAAATTTCAGAAATAAAACATTATCTAACAAAAGAAGCAAAAAGCGAAATTACATTTGAGAAATGTAACAACTTACTGCAAGTTTCGTTCCCCTTTCAGAGGACCAAATGTTGAAAAATGGATCCGACAACTGCATACCTCTTTCCGCTATATCATAAACAAGAAAACAGAGTGAAGCAACCAAAACTGATGATAAGTTTTTCCAGTAAGAAGCCTAAAAACTGGCTATGATGAGAAGTAGCAACTCTTGCGCACTTGTGATGTTAAATAAATAAAAACCATCCTAAAACAGTATCTTACAGAAAACCGTGAATGATCTGAAATGCACGAAATATTACCAAGTTGTTTCTTGAAGTATCATCGATGAGATGTTCGCCAGCAAAAACTAACCAGAAACTAAATAGTACCGCGTAGAAAAAGCCTTGTTTTACATCGGTAACAAATAAAAGGAAAGGTATTTTGAACCATAAAGAAAGCCACTCCATGGGAACTAAAGAGTTAAAATTTAGCAATTGAGTCATCAGTTTTGAAACTCAACAGCACAGTTTTAGCTATATCACAGCGCTTCTTACAGACCCGCTATAGTAGCACCGTACAATAAACTTACAATCTAAAATCGCCAAGCTAAGTCCAAGAACGAAAATCGCCTTCTCCACTAAGTAGGGATAACGAGGTAAACCCGAAATGCGTTTCCAGTACCAAACAAGCATAACAAAGACCAGAGGGAATATAACGGTTTTTAGCCCTAGCCAAATAGCTGTGAAACCACCATTCTGATGTATCTCCTGTTGAAAATATGCTTTTATACTTTTTTTTAAGAGAAAGTACCAATCACCAGAAGACTACAGGGTCTCTCTAAGTTAAACAGAGATCAAAAAACAATTTAAATAATTATACTTACTATTAAAGTAATAAGGTCAATCATTGCCAGAGCACAGTTCGGCACCTTTGAGGGGTCTGGACTACGCATACAAGCTTCTCGGTCAACAGGAAGACGAATGTTAAGTAAGTAAAACGGATAAGGGTTTGAACCTAATTCGAACAGGTCTAGCGTATCGCAGTCGTAAATATCTCCTTCTTCTTTCTAAACACTCAACTTTTTCCTTCAGAACTAGAAAATGTCACTCAAAAAACAAGAAAAAAAAAAACGTTTTTAAAAACTAACGAGAGCAGGAGATTTACAGCGTAACGTTCTTGTTGTATTTGCTGTAGCAAGCTCGTGCCACGTTTCTTCAGGATCACTGTGCGTTCGATAACCAAGACGTACCTCCAGAAGAATAATAATTTCATCTGCTAAAATAAGTTACGCAAACTAAACATCAGCTGCATTATTCTAATAGCAAAAAAA